TGTGTATTTCAGGTCACACCTTTACCTAGGGGAAATTTTTCAAACTGCCAAGTAATAATTTTAAATGGAGCTGCTTTTTGGATGCACTGATGATCAGACTGACAGATATGTGTATCTTTCCAAATAAAATAAATAACTATATTTACACGTTATTTGGAAGAACTCATTGTTTTAAATTTAAAAATAAAAAGCAATTCTTCATATGGTACATCATAGAGAATTGTGTTAGTGTTTTAAAGTATCACAAAATGCTTTCATTTGCATTTCAAAACTATATTATATAAGAAATTTGCTTCTGTGAATTGCTGCTGGTATCATGAGTAGGTTCTTTTCCACTTGAAGTTAAATAAAAAGCTATTTTCAATAAGCAGGATTGTTCTTAGTAGTGATTTTATAGAGGTCAGAGAAGACTAACAAAAATTTTCATTTCTTCAAACCTGAATTCAAGTCCTGGTTGTGCAATTTCATTATCTCCCCTAACAGTAATTTACCTAAAATACACAGCCACCTCACATTATTATAGGGTGGTAGTTTTTAGTAAGGAAGAGTGAAAGTATGAATTAACAAATAGCATATTTAAGTAAAGGCTTTTTAAAAAAATGTTATAAGTAAGAAACACTTCACCCATCACAGAAATGCAATCATCCATAGGTTGAAATTATTGGGCACACTGATACAATATATACTTTTAGGACAGAAAGTGAAGAATGCTATACAGGTTGAACCTCTCTAGTCCAGCACTCTCTGGTCCGGCAACATCCATGGTCTTGCATGATTTTAGTTAGCTGGATGTCCATTTATTGTGGGTTTGGCCAAGTTTCCCACCCTTCCAGAAAGTTTGTTTACAGCCACCAGCCCTGGCTCTCGGGGCATGTCTACATTAGGAAATTACTTTGAAATAACTTATTTTGAAATAATAACTTCCAAAATAATAATTTTGAAATAGTGTGTCCACACTAAAAGGCAGCATGGAAATAGCTCAGAATTATTTCAAAATAGCACATCCACACTGATTGGAGTCTACATTGGATTTAAAGCCCCCAGAAGCCTCCCAGGGAGGGCCTCATGAGTGCGGACACTTCCTGTGGCTGCTTGCTGAGACACGTGCTTACAGGGGTATCTGCTTCTTCTTTACCTGGAGAACTCCCTCTCAAAACTCCCTGTTAGCAATCACCTGTTCACAAGCTCCTTGGTCGCTTGCCCACTGCCTTATAAAGCCCCTCCCCCTACCAAGGCTCAGCCAATCAGCAGAGGCTTCTAGAATTCAAACTTTAATTAGAAGCCAACAGTTTCCACCTGCCAATCACAGCACAAACTCCATCAAGGGGAGGGGGAGGGCAGAGAGGAGGTGGGGGGAAAAAAAGCCTCACTCTCAAACACAGGGGGAAATAAATAAATAAATAAACAAAAAACAAAAAAGAACACACACCAACCCTCACTCACAAACACAAGTTCAGCACACAGCAAGAAAGCCCCAAACACAACACCCACTTCCCTCAAGACTCCTGTATCTGCTTCTCCTCTACCTGGAGAACTCCCTCTCTAAAGCCTCACTCAAACAGAGAAAGAAAAATAAATAAATAAATAAATAAATAAAATAAATAAAAACCAACATCACCACACACCAAACAAACACAACCTCAGCACACAGTAAGAAAGCCCCAATAACAAAACACACTTCCCTCAAGAGTCCTGTATCTGCTTCTCCTTCACCTGGAGAACTCCCTCTCAAAACTCCCTGTTAGCAATCACCTGTTGATAGCAGCCATCAATTAATTACCTGAAGGATGGAGAGAGGCTGTTCTAAGTGGTCACAAATGACACAACAAGAAGCAATGATCTCAAATTGCATTGGGGGAGGTCTAGGTTGGATATTAGGAAAAACTATTTCACTAGGAGGGTGGTGAAGCACTGGAATGGATTACCTTTAGGAGATGGTAGAATCTCCATCCCTAGAGGTTTTTAAGCCCCAGCTTGACAGAGCCCTGACTAGGATCAGTTAGTTGCGATTGGTCCTGCTTTGGGCAGGGGGTTGGACTTGATGATTTCCTGAGGTTTCTTCCAACTCTATAATTCTATAATTCTATGATTCTATAACCCAACAAGCCAAAATACTTCGATTTGCATATATTGCTGCAGTGCCTCATGGGACTTGTCCTTTAGTTGTGCCTCATATTCTCTGTGGGCCAGGTTTCCAAGACAGACATAATTTTCTATGATGTACATTGGCCCTATGATTCCGATGGTGCACTGCTTCCCCTTAACAAGAGAAAAGGCCAGTATTCATCTTGGGTATGTCTACATGCCTCTGCTGACAGAGGCATGTAAAATAGGCTACCCGACATAGTCAATGAAGCTGGGATTTACATATCCCCAGCTCCATTAAAATAAAAATGGCCACCACGCTGTGCCGGTTCAGCTGATCATCAGCACAGCGTGGCAGTCAAGACGCGGATCGGTCGACAAGGGAAGCCTTTGTCAATCGCTCCTGTAAACCTCATTTCACAAGGCATAACGGAGCAGTCAACAAAGGCTTCCCTTGTCGACTGATCTGCGTCTTGACTGCCGTGCTGTGCTGATGATCAGCTGAACCGGCACAGCATGGTGGCCATTTTAATTTTAATGAAGCCAGGGATATTTAAATCCTGGCTTCATTGACTGTGTCAGGTAGCCTATTTTACTTGCCTCTTTTGGCAGAGGCATGTAATCTAGACATACCCCTTGAGAGATATAGTCCCAATAGGGAGCCTCCTTTATACAGAAGAACAAGGGTGTCTGGGAGCACCCAGTTTTGCAACTCTTATGAGGCATCATAACAACATTGTAACATCAAATTTCTTGCTAAAGTATTACAGATCTTTATTTATTATTATATTTTATTTATTTTCTTAGGATGGCATTTTTTACCTCTTTTAGTTGTGAGGCTTTTAGCTGCTGCTTGGACAGCAGAAGGGACTTCAGAAATCTTCAAAAGATGATGGTTTAACAGAGCACTGCTACCTTGTCAGCATTAGATGAAAGATGATGTCTTTGGGTGGTATGTGGAACTGTGGCCCTTTTAGTAAGAGGAAAGACTGCTTGTTGCTGAATGTTACTGATGTACTAGGTTTTATCTAAGAATGTAAGAACATAAGAATGGCAATATTATGTAAGATTAGAGGTCCATCTAGCCCATCTTAGCTAATTTATTTTTTACTAAATCAATACACATCTGAAATATAGGGTATTTATGTTTAAAACCTCTGTTTCTATTCTTTATTTGGCCTTTGACAACTTTAGTTCTTTTCTGAGATTAGTAAAGTAACAAACCTCTTCAGATGCCAAAATAAGTCCAGCTTCATGTTAGTTGTTAAGTGCTGTCCAAAAGATTTGTTACCTGTAGATGTTGGACTTAATGATGGTACATTAACAGGAAACTTTTTTTATATTGGCTCTAAATACATTTTTATTTTAATTTTGTTTTGAAAATTGGATTGAACCACAATTTGTTTCAATCTGCTGAAATACCATTGACTTTAATTCAGAATAAGTGTTCTTAGAATCATAGAATCATAGGACTGGAAGGGACCTCGAGAGGTCATCGAGTCCAGCCCCCTGCCCTCAAGGCAGGACCAAGCTCCGTCTACACCATCCCTGACAGATGTCTATCTAACCTGTTCTTAAATATCTCCAGAGAGGGAGATTCCACCACCTCCCTTGGCAATTTATTCCAATATTTGACCACCTTGACAGTTAGGAATTTTTTCCTAATGTCCAATCTAAACCTCCCCTGCTGCACTTTAAGCCCATTACTCCTTGTCCTGTCCTCAGAAACCAAGAGGAACAAATTTTCTCCTTCCTCCTTGTGACACCCTTTTAGATATTTGAGAACTGCTATCATGTCCCCCCTTAATCTTCTGTTTTCCAAACTAAACAAGCCCAGTTCATGAAGCCTGGCTTCATAGGTCATGTTCTCTGGACCTTTAATCATTCTTGTCGCTCTTCTCTGTACCCTTTCCAATTTCTCCACATCTTTCTTGAAATGTGGCGCCCAGAACTGGACACAGTACTCCAGCTGAGGCCTAACTAGTGCAGAGTAGAGCGGCAGAATGACTTCACGAGTTTTGCTTACAACACACCTGTTGATACAACCTAGAATCATATTTGCTTTTTTTGCAACAGCATCACACTGTTGACTCATATTCCACTTGTGGTCCACTATGACCCCTAGATCCCTTTCCACCATGCTCCTTCCTAGACAGTCGCTTCCCATCTTGTGTGTATGGAACTGATTGTTCCTTCCTAAGTGGAGCACTTTGCATTTCTCTTTATTAAACTTCATCCTGTTTACCTCTGACCATTTCTCTAACTTGCTAAGGTCATTTTGAATTATGTCCCTATCCTCCAAAGAAGTTGCAACCCCACCCAGTTTGGTATCATCTGCAAACTTAATAAGCGTACTCTCTATCCCAATATCTACATCATTGATGAAGATATTGAACAGTACGGGTCCCAAAACAGACCCTTGCGGAACTCCACTTGTTATCCCTTTCCAGCAGGATTTAGCACCGTTAACAACAACTCTCTGACTACGGTTATCCAGCCAATTATGCACCCACCTTATCGTGGCCTTATCTAAGTTATATTTGCCTAGTTTATCAATAAGAATATCATGCGAGACCATATCAAATGCCTTACTAAAGTCTAGGTATATGACATCCACCACTTCTCCCTTATCCACAAGACTCGTTATCCTATCAAAGAAAGCTATCAGATTAGTTTGGCATGACTTGTTCTTCACAAACCCATACTGGCTATTCCCTATCACTTTATTACCTTCCAAGTGTTTGCATATGATTTCCTTAATTACCTGCTCCTTAATTTCCTTAATTACCTGCTTATTACAACATTATTGTGCAAACATCTTTAATTGTTTTATTGTAGTATTAAAATGAGCTATGATTTTTGTATCAGTAACCACCCACAGATATTAATTATTCCTTCTCTTCCCTTTTCTTTAGGGGATGTATATTAAGTCAACATACGATGGGCTGCATGTAATCACCGGGACTACTGAAAATGTAAGATGCTTTATTCCAATGAGACCAGTTTATGACTTTTGTAGTTATGTCCACAATATGTGAACAGTATATTTCATATTACTAACAGTTGCTTTAAATCATGCCACTGTTTGTTAATGCTTTCATTTAGTGAGTATCTTCATTATTGTGTAATATATATATACATACCTATAGTGAATGCTGCTTAATAGCAATCCTGATATTAGAAACTTATAATTAATAACAATGTTTTGCTGGGAGCCAGTCCCATTCCATGTTAATGTTAATGTTAATGGGATTTGGATATTGGCAACAAGCTTGCTACATATTGATAGCTTCTTGGCATGTCTTCCCTATCTGTAGCACCACAAACCCATGTGCTGCTGGGAGAAAACAGCACCAGAGAGGAGATTACAGCCTGGCTGCCAACGTTGTCCACAGAAAGCAGGGACGCTGGGTTGTTCCCGGTCTTATCACCAAGGGCCTAGACTTAGTGCATCTCAGTCCTTCTTTTCTTGGCTGCAGCCCCACTAGGGATATAAAAACACATTTAATTGGACCCCCCCACACACAGGCAGGAAGTTGCTCCAGCCCCCATTAGTTCACCCTAAGCAGTAAGCTTCACCCTTAACCGGTTAAATATTCATATCCCTAAAACCCACAAGCTGCACTATTCTGGTACTACAACCAGGGTAGGAAATGCTAGGATGTGCTGAGCACCAGCTGTATGCAGGTTTGGAGCACTGCAGCCTGGGAAGGCATGTCAAATAATAGCAACTGTTTGCTGAGAATCAACAGTCTATTAATAAGCAAAATCTATTGTATTTTTTCAATAGAAGATGTGAATCATATTAATAGTGTCTAGTTTCTGATTTTAAAACTATTAACATCAGACAGCTAGAAATAAAAAAATATGAAGAAGCAACAAAGACTTTAAATAACTAAAATCCTACCACACTTCCTTAATGAGCTTGGGCACATAATTTCCCACTAGTACCTGTCTGTGTTCATAGGAAATACATTTCTCCCACATGACTTTGTTCATTGTTATCATTAATCTTACATAGTATCTGTCATGTCAAAATGTCTGTATTCTATGTCTTGACTGAAGAGATTTTCCACCTGTTCTGGATCAGTATCCATGCATAATCAAGGGATTTTTTTTTTATCCATTTGTTATTCAGCGTGTTGACAGAAAATCATGTAGTAAATATAATTTTGACTCTGTAACTTCTGATTCTATATTTTATGGATTGTCTCAAGCCTGTCTAGAAATGCATATTAGGTCATTTCCAAATGTGTCCAAATACTAAGCTGCATTGTTTCTTCAAAAGAAAATATAGAGTTTTAATATATTAAGAACATAAAAATGGCCATACTGGTCGGATCCTTCCCATGTTCCGCATACCTAGCTTCTGACACACACAGGCTAGGGACACCATTCCTACCCTTGATAACTAGCAGACTAACCCAGAGTTGCCTGGGCCCTTCAGGGCAGGGCCTTGGGGATTGGGGATGCAGGAAGCTGGGGGCCAGGGGCATGTTCTCACCCCCACCCAGCTCCCCTGCCCACCCAGGGCCTGTTCTCCTCCTCTGCAGGCCACTGCTCCAGCTCATCCCAGGCCTGTTCTCCTCCATCCCCACTGGCCACCCCTCTAGCCGGCCCAGGGCCTGTTCTCTCCCCTCCCAGGATACCCCTCCCAGGCCCTATTAACTCCTCTCCTGCCCCCACCTGTGTTCACCCTCTCAGCTGCCAGTGGTGACTTCTCTCCCCCCCGCCACTGCAGCCACGGGAAGTGCTTTCCAATCCCAGCCCCCCAAGTCCAGTGCCTCCACAGAGAGCTGGTGTAGATGATGCCTCTGCCCAATGCATCTTCTGGTAAACCAGATGCAAAGCAGAGTATCCACCAAAAATAACTACAGCCAACTGATACAATCACTTAATAAAGCATGCAGCTGGAAGTGGAAAAGTTTGGGGCAGGCAAAATATTTACCAGTGTGCTAGCAGGCAACATGACAGAGCCCCACCCCAGCTAGCCACTCCCTCAGCTGCCCCCAGTGGACACTCTTCAAGAGAGCACTCCCCTGTGGCTTGCTGCCCAGTGGCCACTCACATGTCACAGCCCTCAGAATAGCAGCCTCTCCTCTGCATGTTGTGGAAAACAGTTCTTTTTCTGGGGCTTCTGGTTGTTTTGGCACAACCAGACCCTGTCCTTGCTTTAAGTTATGGTAAGAGGAAGCTGCATGCCAAATTTGGTGGCCCTAGCTCTTACTGTTTAGGAGGAATTCTTGAACAAACAGATTCACAGACAGAAACAAAGACAGATGCATTCCGAGAGAGAGAGAGAGAGAGAGAGAGAGACTATTGAATCTCTGCTCATCGCATATCCGGACTATTGTAATCTCCTTCTCTGGTTCAATGCCTACATTCTTCCCCCTTTCAAGTCCATTTACCAGACAGCTAAGATCATTTTCCTAGTCCATCATTCTGCCACCTCCTCTCTGTCTTTCACTACATCAAACACAATTTTTTGCTCCAACTTACAATGCCCTCCATAATTTAACTTTCCTTCTCTTATCCTATCCTTTCTATTAGCATATGATTGACAACCGGCTTCATTTCATTAATGATGTCAACTTCAATTATCTGATTCTTCCTTTCTTTTACAAGCACCTTCACATTTTCTCTCATGCTGTCCTTTACAAATGAGAGAAATTCCCAGTCAGCTTCCTAAAGCCAGAACCTAAGCCTCCTTCAGGGCTCTCCTCAAAACCTACTTCTTCTATAGTGCATCAGGAATGGCTTGGCAGGTGGAGAGTTACAATTATCACTCCTGATTATATCTGAGAATCATTGTGTGCATCCTGCTTATTAACCGTTTCTCTCCTGCTTTATAACCTGACCCACTGTTGTCTGTTCCACCTATTATGAGTTGTCGTTTGGACTGCAAGCTCTTTTGAGGCAGGGACTATCACTTTCTATGGCTGGCTATTTGGCAAGTTTTTGTGGCACACGATATGCTAATGAGGGACTCATTAGCATGAGTCGTTTTGTTATTAGCATATTTTCTGCCGATTCTTTTTGCGCAAGGGGTTTTGCGCAAAAAGAAGCAGTGTAGCTGCTTCCATTTTGTGCAAAAAACCTCTTTTACACAAGATCCTTATGCCTCTTTACTGTATCCAGAGAGTTAGCTACAGCAGAGTGGAGTGGGTCACAAACTTTTCGTGTTAATATTTAGTATGCTTTTTACATTATCCATTAGTTAATTTCTCCATTGGCTCTCTCTTGTAGAAGTTATGCACATGTTGTTAATTTTATATAGATATTTCATGCTAAGAACTTGATATAAGTGTTTTGCTCTGTATTTAGTAGTAATGTATTATATTCATTATATTATATCATAATTACTTCTGCACCAATTGAGGATAAATGATAGACTGTTATTTCTTAAAACTACTCAGAAAAGATAAACGAATCTCTTTCATAATAATGAAGATCAGGCAAAAATATATCTTTTTCTGGACTTTAAGTAGGTCAAATTTAAAATGTAACAAGTGTCACAGGTCGACACTGGCCCTTTAAGAGGGATCAGCTTTTGTGCACTGTGCCTACTCAGCTGATCCTAGTTAGATTTTAAAAAGGGGATGTGGGTCTCAGGAAGAGAAAGACGCAGTGAGAGAGAAAGAGACTGACTATCACTGATCTACTAGGAAGCTGCCGCAGGGTCTCTAGATTTTCTGGGAGAGCATTCAGTGAGTTCCTAGGAGGTACTGCAGAAAGCAGGAGCAGCAGATTGCTGGAGTCCCCCAGGAGTTGAGCCAGTGAGAACTTGAGAGCAACTGTTCATAAAATAGTATTACAGAAGGAAAACCTAGGGTGACGGTGTTCAGGAAACAAGGCACAGAAGCAAAGTCCATGGAGAGGGGAGGGGGCAATAGCCTGAGAGATAAAGGAGAAAAAGTTGCCAGGGGACTGTAGCTCAGGATGAGTTGAAAAACTATTTTTGTTTGCTTTGCTTTTGTTTAAGAATAAAACTCCCCAGAAGAAACTGTGGGCATGGCAGTGGCTCCTATGATAGCTGGGAAGAAGCCCTGCCCTGTTACAGGCAGTTTGTCTGTGATCATACACTATTAAGTATGCTCTGATCTACCCAACATGACAGCCACCATGAACCCCAAGGTAAGGTGAGGAGGAAGGCTGGCTCCGTGCCCCAAAGGGGCAGGACCTTGGGCAGAAGGGGCAGGCCAAGGGCAGTCAACCCTTGGCACCATCCAAACCGCAGCACACCCTCCCCAGTCTCTCAGAGCTGTGTGGAGTGGCACTCAGGTGGCAATTCAAAGGGGCCTGGGACTCTAGTAGTGGTGGTAGTGACTGGGAGCTCTGGGCCCCTTTGAATCTTTGGTGCCCTATTATACCACCACTACCACTGTTGGTGGTCCTGGGTCCAACTCATAATAGTTGTGCAGGCTCAGACTCAACAGAAAGGCTTAGTTTACATTTTCCATGAAGGATGCTGAAAAGTACCTAACACCTTCAATTACATGAATTGGATAGACTCAAAGATGAGAGCAGTTGCTGTTTGTCAGCCCTCATTCTGCAGTGGTGCTATGCAATTGTGAATAATTTTCTGTTAAATACTCTCTTGCTTCCTTGTGTAATCAGAACGAATAATAAAAAAGTGCTAGAACTAAACTTAGCCAACCTCGCCTAATCTGTAAAGGTTAACAGACTTTATTAACAATGGCAGAAAAATGAGCATCATAGACTTTTGGATGTGTTGTTGTCAGGCAAATGAGTACACCTTTCACTCTTTATGTCATGCTACATTTGCTAGGATTGATTCAGAAGCTGTACTAAGGATGTTAAGTAATGGTTAATTAGCTAATCAAGTGATCAATGGAATTTCCATCGACAACTCGATTAGTTGATCTAGTTGATCGGGGGCGGGGGAGCTCACTACTGCCGCTGAGGCTTTGCATTTTAAATGTAATAAGAGTCACAGGGCTTTTACTACATTTAA